CTTGATTATTATCTCGTCGTGATTTTCAATCACCCTGTACAATAATCATGAACTATTTAGTTGCTTTTGAAATGAAAATTTTGAACTTAAAACTAGTTATGAAATTACACTTTAAAGTCAAATATTTAACTGCAAAAGTTATCGTGCTAATGTAATTCCATCCTCTCTGTAGGTGCGGTAATTTGCTATTCGAGACCTTTAGTTAAGGTTTGCTTACCGTTCCAGTTCCTCTTGTAATTGGTTTCGAATTAATCACTTTTGTACTTGCTAACTCTAAGACTATTGGCTTCCAATTGAAAATTCTATATATTTTCATAAGACAATATTTCATTTAGTTGATATAATTGAAAGTACATTATCTAGTAAAACCTTTCTAATGCCATTGCTATTCAGGGAACGTAACCGTTGTGGAAATGCTAAATTGCCTCTTATTGAATTTGATATCTGTATAATCGGGTTAAGACTTCATTGTTCTGTTTTCAAACTCCCTTTCTGCGTTTTGAAGCCATTAAGTATTTTGCTATTTTAATGAAGGGTTTGGCTTGTAAATGAGGGCTGTTAAAACTTTCCGGCTGTTATAATTAGTAGGCTTTGGCCGGCGTACACCAATTGAAAATTATGGAAGTTGTTTTGTTATTGGTTTTGTTCAGGAAATTAAAGGGGCTAATGGAAGTGGTACTAATCAGGCTGTTTTTTTGGGTCAATTAATGCAGCCTTTGAGGAAATTACGTGCAAAGTAACATAGTAAATGCAAAAAAGATCCAGACGAATTGTTTTGCGTTGTAAAATAAAATTTATTATGTGCTTTTTTGCTAGAAATAATCTTACAAAGTTATAGATGGTTTTGAAAAATGTGCTCTTAAATTATTTACCTTTGTTAAGCGTATCTGTATAGTAATGTACTAATGTGCAAAAATTAACAAGCAACGACTTGATTAAAAGGGTGATAATTGGCGTCAATAATCGCAAGAAAGCTAGTGATAAAGTTAAAAGATAAATAAGTTAATCGTAGTTTTATTTTAGTCATTTGGCTCTTTCGTTTTTTCTTCTATATTTCTTATTTTTGCAGGGATTAGGGGAATCACAAACTTTGAGTTTTGGAGTTTTATGACACATGGAACGTTAAATGTTAACCATCTGTAGGCAGAACTATGCTTGGGTTCTTTTGAGGTGAAGGTCTTTGAATGTGCATTTTAATAAATAGATATATATTTAGTTGACGACCTCTACTAGATCATAAATATTTGGCTTCAAAATTTTTGACTAAACGCAATTTTTTTTCATCTTCTTCTTCTGGCTGTTCTTCGTCCAGAATTGGAGATAGGCCCCCCTTAGTTCTGATCTTTAAAAAGTGAAAATTCTGCCCACCAAGTTTATGTCCGGACACCTTGTATTTTGTATCCATCTGTCAGTTTTATTATTATTAGTTAAGTTAACACCAGCCACGTCTAAACTAACAAATTGTAAATATCCAAAACGTAAAAAAGTATTGCAAGCTCGGTTTGCACAAACAATTTATTTAATTTTGGGGAAACTTCCATGCGCTTCGAAGGCGTTTCTTAAGCCTGCCCGAACTACATTTAAATTCACATAATGTATTTCTCTTTGCTCAGCTTCTTCGTGCCTTCATCCTGAAAAACAATGAAACCAGCCTGCGGAATAATTCAATAAGACAAAAATATTACTAAGAGCGAATGACAAAACATAAGCTGTTATTTACGAACATATCAAGCCACTCGACTGACTTTATTCACAGTTTCCCCAACTAGAAGCCTGAGTTATTTGTTTGTTTACAAAATGACAAATATTCAGACTTGGGATTTTTATATCAGTCTTCAACTTACAAATTAACCGAATTCCCTTGTGAATATTAACTAGAACTAATTTCAACTACTAGAGTAGCGATTGTTTGTACTACTAGAGCCGTGTTTGCTCTTAGGAGCCATGTTTTCCCATTCGGCAACAGCCATGTTTATAAGGGAATTGCATTTATGGATATTTAGTGCTAATTCGGTGGTACGTGACGATATATTCCCATTTATTTTACTTAAGTTCCTTCGGATAATCAGCCGCTTTCATTTAGACATTATTATTTATAGAAATATTTATCTAGAAAACTGCACTGTAAACGATTAATTAAATGGAGAAAAATTACAAACGAACACACAACTGTATTCAGCTCAATCAAAATAAATTGAGAAGTGAAGAATAAATTTTATCCTGACAAAGAGAAGCACTGATTTTAATCGCTACCGCTAATTTAATTGGTTAATCTTAAAGGATTATCAAATATATTTTCTTACTTGCTCTTATTTCTCATATAGCTGTGTCTCAACGGTTATGAAAGCTGAATCGTCTATTTCATTGCTTGATTTGCCTTCGGTGCCTCATAAATGTGTTTTAGTTGCCAAGATCTACTTCAATTCAAATATCACTCAACTTCAAAGGCTTTAAACCTTTAATAAAACCAACTTTATGGGTGTTTCAAAATCTAGGTTTTCAGTTTAAGTATATTTAAGCTAATCAAAATTATTACTGTCTGATTGCATCTTTGGTTTTCTAAAGAGTCAACTCTTCAGATGTTTAAGTTGTGATTCTCTTATTTCTTATTAAACATTTTATTGCTTATTTTCCTAATTAAACTCAATTTTTATTATAGCCTCGTCAATTTATTTGGCTGTGCTGAGAGATATTTTTTTTTTTTTAATTTTTTTTGTATTATTATAGCAATCTAGTACAGTGCTGAGAGATATGTATAATTTCGTTTAAAAACTCATTTTACTTAAATTMTTTGTTAAGTACTATCTTTGATTCCTTGGTATTTGAAATATACACCTTCAACATTTTCAACATATGATCCTAAACGCACTGACATATTAATTAATTTTAATAATTAGTAATGAACAAGTATAATATTCTAAAAATGGTCAATAAAAATGCATTTCTAAAGTCGCAGAAATTTGCTGTTAAATATGCTTTGCAGCAATAATTTTGCCTCGCAGATTTCTCAACAAAAAGTGACGGTAATGATCATCCATGACCAAAATAATTCAGATTTATTTATTTTTCCCCAGTTAAAGATTGCTCAGTAAAATGTATCTGCTGGTGTAACTTGTCTTTTTGAGAGCCGATTATGTTCGCCCAAGCTGCCCGAGTCGTTTGAGTCTTCATAAAGTAGATTATGGTGGTAAATAGGAAATTTAATTTAGCAAAATTAAATTAATCCCCTAAATCTGCTCGAAAATCAATTCACATCGWGAACATTTTTTACAGTTCAAAGTGCTCCATTGAAGTGCTCAACTTTTTCATTTCTTGTCAAAGTTAAGTGAGCCGTTCGGTAAGATGGTAACTTATAAGGTGACCACGATCTTGTCTTATACGAAAATTTTATCAGGCTAAAATACGCTCAAGGCAAATAACTATTAATTACAGCGAAGGAAACACTTAGTCGATTATGCTAATTAAATGGCATATATGTTACAATACATTTTCCTAACGCTTTTTATGCATAATTAATAATCAAATTTTTTGTTATCGCATTTTTGTTATTTTTGCAAGTAGTAGTTGCTCAATTTTTATAAAATGTTCCTAAACATGTGTTTACTTTATTTACGGTTTTATATGTTTATAGTTTCAGAAATAAGGACCACTTTTCAGGAATTTATTTACTTTGCTTCATTTATGCAGTTACTCATAGATGAAACTAAAAATTAAAGCTGCATTTGATAAGTACAGTGTCTCAATTTTTTCCATTTAAAATTCTAAATTTTAAGGAAATGCCGGGAGATCAAACAGAAGTAGTTTCAGTCTTATATTCATTTAGTTTTTCTATTAATATTTTTTGTAATATTAGTGAGATTGTTTTCAAATACCTGCACAGAAATATCTTACAAAATCCCATCAAAATGTGTTGAAGTTACATAATGGAGTTAAACAACACTGGTAGTCAATTGAGATTGCATCAATATAAATGAATCGCTGTATTTCGAAAACGGAATACTTGAAATAATAGAAGATTAGTTTGGAAAATTAACCAAACTAATCTTGTTTGTATAATACTATATACAGGGTTGCTCATTAGTGCGTCAAAGTGCGATATCTCAGTAAATATGAAGTTTACAAGAAAATTCGTCCAACGAAAGTTTTTCACG